ATTTTGGTTTCAGCGTGAGAAGGTGGGTTTTCGTTTACATCATAATAATAATATATGACCTGGCTAATATTTTGTGTCTACAACGTCTATATAATAATATATCATAATATACATCACATCTTTTGCAGTTAGTTGCGAAGGAGGTGCAAGCGATTTTCCTGTCGACGTTTTCCCCATACCATATAGATACCAAATCTATAGGACGTTCTTCCCCGGGAAATAATTAGATAGGATATTTTACCCCGGAAGATATAAGCCGTGTAATAAATAATTACTTGCATTATAATCATTTTCGTAAAATAAAAATCGATTTGATTCCAAAACTATTTAATGTATATAATTATTTTTAAAAAATTAATACAAATTATACTTTAAAAATCGCAAATCAAACCTCCTATAATCAATATACGCCAGGTGCCCAAAACGTCCTTTGAGAAATATATAACCTCACTGTTACTAAATATTCTATCTTCTTTTAATATTTTCCAGGGTTGAAATGTCCGTAAATTCAATCTTTTAAAGTGCATAATCCGTTTAACTATCATAGAAAACAAACGCCCGTCTATGACAAGCCGGGTTACAAAGTTTTCTCTGTAGACTGTAACGGTAATGTTTTAATGTGTAATACAGCTCTCGTTCATTCTTAATACGGTGAATCTAATAGTTAACCGATTACATTTGCACACTTTGACTACAATGTACCAAACCGAACAAACAAAAGAGATTTGAAATTTAGTTTAAAATAAAATTTCTGAAATATTTAAATTATATCTTTTAATACACTGTTCTGTATATAGTTTATCAAATATGTCATACTATCATTTCGGAAACTTTCTATTAAAAACCACTAAAAATCAAATTTTTGAAATTTAATATCACTTAGCACAATTTTTTAAGATCTGAGAACGTTCTACGTAGGTTACTGCACCTTCAGTGTTAGTGGTCGTCAAAAATGTATTTATCTATAACAATAAATTGTAAATTTCATCAGGTTTTTTATGCATACCTTTATTAGATAGACGTATTATGCAAATATAGGAAAGATTAATATAAAACTATTAAAGTGTATTAAAAATATTAAAATACCTATATATAGCATCGTTTTATCATCATATTTCTAATTTCTATTGGTTTTGGGGAAAGGGATAGCTATAGCTTAGTTTAATTTTATTATTATCGTAAAGAATAAGTACAAATCGTATACCTAATATATTTTTTTTAAAGTTGTTATATTATTATTATAATATGTTTTATATAATATTTCGACGACCTGAACGACGGCGGTGGTACAATGTGTGCGGCCTTTTGGCCCCCGCGGGAGTTATTCGAACATGACGTCATTTCCGTTGTCGTGATAACGGCCGCACTGACATACCCATGATTTTTATAGTTCCGGCCGTTCCGGGAAACACTATTATATTATAATTTATAATATTAATGATACATATAATATTGTGTATATCATAGACGTATACGCGTTATAATAATAATAATAATAATATTGAACTGCCACGAACTGACGGAGCGCGCATGCAGCACAACCTTGAAGAATCTGCAGATAACGCAGAAAATTAAAACAAGTCGTGTCATGGCTTATGTTTCTGCGGCTGCATATTATTATTACAATATTTATTTATAACATATAATATTATATTATCACGTGCCACGTTGATGATGTTCTCTGCCGTTTCGGGGAAGGTCGCTAGCAATTTGTCCTCGTGATGCACAAAACGTTTTTTCAACATTTGTACATAATTTTTACAGTGACATATGTTATAGTATAACAATTTATAGGTTTATATTATAATATAAAATTTCAACCCTAAGCATATAAATGTCGTCAAAAATGATCCGATTTGCGTCAAAAATGAATAGTTTGATTACCGTTTCCGTGAAGTTTCTTACTTGAATAAAATAGTCATTTTCATAATCTTTTGAGTAAAAATAGTTTGAATAAAAACATACTTCTCGAAATTGGGAAATTTGAATATTGTATCAAATTAAGACATGGTCTTGATGTTCTACTAAAATATTTAATTCATTCAATGTAAATTCGTCAAATAGAGTGACGCAACTAATAACTTTGGAAGTGGTATGGTATACAGCGTCTCGAAAAAATTGTGGTCCCAAAATGGCAACATTTATAAACATTAAAAGAGTAAATTTGAGAATCAACAATTAAATCCAAAAGGTTAATTAAAAATAACGAAATTAATAGAGCTAAGGGTTTAAATAAAAAGTCACTTATGAAACCATAAAAGATCTTTTTTTTTTTAAATGAATATTTACAATGTGTGTACATAGTTTATACAATAAGTAAATTTTGAAGACTTATAGGAGAAAATAAAAATACATGTGGACTTGAGAGAAGGGGGGCGTCCGGTGACACCGCACTTCAATTTACATTATTCATCATGGTTAAATGTTTAGTAGATCTCTAGGCCAGCGTCGTTTTAATCGACGTAGTGGATTGATAGGGTTAGTTATAGAACTGAGATTGGAGATAAGTGGATTTTGATGATTAGTTGTGGCTGTGTGTGGTTTTTTGTAAGATTGATAGGTTAAGTCAGAAAGAGTTTGGATTTTTAGGTCATTATGAAGGGACTGATTGCTGACAAACCAAGGAGCACCTGTGGATGATACGTAACTAGCGTAAGCATGAAAGATCTTACAAATTTCATTTAGTTATCTTAACTTCTTTTAATATTTTAATATTATTGCCCGTTCATTTTAATAAATATTTTATTCATTTTATTTCTAATATTTAGTACTGTTTTTTTGATTAGAAATATAACGTTAAAAATTAAAATTATTTGGTATAGCAAAAACGAGTTCAGTTACTGAGCTGACTAGTATGTGTCATAAAATTATAAAGTAACAATAGTGTAAAATAAGCTTTTGTTTATGATTTTATTATAAACGGGTACACGAATCTCATAAAACCTATATTTGTGGTATTGACTAAATATCAACAATTTAGATTCAGACAAGGGATATTTCTTCTATTCGAAAGTCTATATATCGAACCAGACAGCAGATTTTACTAAAAAACCTGATTTGTATTTAAGATTTAAGAGATACCCGGTATTATTGATTCATATTAAGATTTGGTAACTTCTAAAATTTAAATGTCAACACAATTACTTATTGTATTTTATTTATATACAGATAGTAGATTTTTTTCATTACCTATATTTTTAATAAATGAAAAATAAACTTCTAAAATATTTTTATAATTGATCTAAATTTTACTACAGTTATTTTTTTGCATAAACAAATTTAAGTTTTTTTCAAAATTGTGAAAAATAATGAAACCTTTTTCTTACCAAAAATTGTTGTTTAAAAATTATAACGTAGATTTAAAATCGATTGTTATAATTATTAATTGCTTTAGTTTTATGCGTACCCTATTAAGTTTTATGAAATAAAAATATGACCAACTTTGTATTTAATGCAAAATATTAACAATTGATTACAAAATTTGCACTTCATAAATCATAATGCTGTGCAATTATTTTGGTTAATACTTATATAAATTTATTAAAATCATATATATAGCGCAGCAGATTTTATTTAACATTTTTTAACAATTATTTGTATTGAATTATTCAAAAACATGTATTATTTATATTAAAATAAAAAATCAATTTTATTAATTGAGCTATAACAGGTAAATTAATGGAAACTTATTAAACGTTATAAATTCTCATTTTAACGTCTTAATTAACCTGTCCCTATATAATAACGAATTATTAGTGTGATAAAATTTTTATTTTGTTTTATATAAAATCTTTTCCATCCATCTCAGAGAATGTTTAATAACACATTCGTATATTATATGTCAAAGGGTCTATTGGAATTTAAGTTTTAACATAAAATATAATAAAATTATACCGTTTTAACAAATAAAAAAAAATATAAATGTTATATATCCAAAATTTAACAATCTAGTTGTGTTTTCTACTCAACATTTATTTGCGTAGTTATATATATATGGTTATTATAATCATTTATATCGACCTCACAGTGATGTTGTGCGCGCATTATAATTTATAATATATGCAGTGTATTCAATTTGTTTATTTATTTTAGAATTATAAATCGTTGAAAAAATAATTTCGTTTTAGTTAGTATTATTTTCTGGTTTAAAAAGAGAGCTCGTTAACATTTTTTCTGCAAAGTCTATATGGTTGAAATTTAGTACAAGAGATGTATTGTAGGACCGTCATACAGTGTGATGGTAGGCTTATATTGCGAGTGGGTTCATAAACTATTTTGGTGCTATAACTAAAAATAAACCATACATTAAAGCGAGAAAATAAAAAATCTACTTTAGTTGCCCTTGGAAACCTATGTATATTATGTGTTATATACTTATGTATATAATAATGCGTAGTATGTACTTAAATATTTTAAAAATAATATTTACTAATAGTATTCAGTGTTTTATGAATATTTATTTATTTTCAATTAATAAACATAGATTTATCTTAATATAATACATGGGTGATTCGAATAGTTTATACAAGTTATACTACTATTTAAATTTTATACAGCCCTTTTCCATTACATTTTGACCATTTATTATCATAAAATAGTAAACAAATTCTTCGCAAAATACTCGTATGGTATCTACATATAAAAGTTTATTGAATGCCAATTTTGATGGTCGTCTAATTTTAATATACTTAAATTTCAATAAATTACTAGTGAGAATATTAAAGGTGTAAAATACATCGTGAAATGTATTATCATAATTTGTTGTTAATTAAACTAATATACATTTGAATAGACATCAATTTTTTAGTGATGAAAACGTGTATTATTATATAACATAGTTTAACTATATTTTAATTATAGTTTAACAATAATTTTAAATCCTATAACATCATTTTAATTTAGTTATTTTATAATCATACATATTATTATTATTTATTAAATTCTGATCAAGATATAGAGTTAATGGCACTTCAATAATTTATGTTTTATATTATTTTTAGAGAACATTTATTTGGAATAGCAGTGATACTCAAAAAGATTCGTGTACAACTCTTTTATCGTAAACGATAACCAAAGTCCATAACTGGTCAATATTCCGAAAAATTTGAGTAATATGCCAAAAATAATCTTACAAAAACAGTGAAAAACCGTAAGCAAGCATACATTTTTATCATGTTTATCATTCTTAGTAATTAAAAAAGTAATACAATAAGCTGTATATATATATACTATATATATGCACTATATAAGTATAGTATTTTATAAAATAAACTCTTACATTATATCAAGTAAATGGAATAAATTTATTTAATATTTTAAATAGTAAGTGTATATAAATGTACAATACAACTGAAAAAGGCAGTAAAATGTACATGAAAAGTAATTTTATATTTTGTTAACTTTTATTGTTGTATAATATATAATTAATAAAAATTCAAAAAATTTAATGAATATTATTAATTTATCTGAAATTTTTCGGTTCTTTATTTTAATATTAATAATAATGGCTGATGTGCATGTGGCATATATTAAAATAATAAGTGAACTGAAGTGGATCGAAATTATATATTTTTTTTAATTTGGACAACAGTCATAAATATTATTAATTTCATTTCATTGAAGATAATACAAATAATATATATGATAATATAAAATCATCAATCGATTATAATAAAACACAGCCAATGGTTGATCGCTCCTCCCTCACTAAATCCACGCCATAACCTAGACCACTGTGGTGGTAGAGAATAGAAGTAGGTATGTAGAAATGAAAACTCATAGTTTAAAGTTATTTCTTTTAAAACGTACTTAACATATTTATTAATTTTAAGTTAATACAAATCACAATTATATTTATTCGTGTGATTTCCATTATTGGATACCAATAGTCAATACTGCAGAATTTACACACACACACATATAACATATATTGGGAACATTTTTTATTAATATATATGTTTTAGGCAAACATTAATAATTATACTCTTACATTTTAACAATAAAATAGAACTAATATTCATTATTAGTGTATTAAATGTTTGAAATATATTCAGCCGTGATAAAAAATTAATTAATGACATTATCACAAAATATATAATACATACTAGCAAATAATTGTATTCAAATAATATAAATTATGATATGTATGTATATGTATAAATAATATTTATCATATATTATCTAATTGCAGGTTGTACATCAGTAATAACTTTAATTATAATTCATAATTTATAAATGATAGGAATAATGTTTTAATTTATTATGTATAAAAAGAATACCAAAGACACAATAATTTGGAATTCATTAATTTGACATTGATTATCTAAATATTTGTAATGAAGTACTGTGTTTATATGAAATTTAATATACACACATTAACCAAACCATAATATCCTTATTTAAATAAAATAGTTGATATAGTACCATGGATATACATTATAATAGCTAACAAGAATAATAAGATAGACTGAAATGGGTGTGATAGCAGTGATATATAATGGTATAATCTCCTCCGACAAGTCAAATACTTACAATTCTTTAAATTCCATTAAATTGTATCAATGACAGTAAATATCACCACATAAATAACTACTTTAAATGTTAGTGTTTAGATCAACAAGATCATTAACGTTTTATACTTTGAACTCTCATTCATTGAATAGCGAACATCGATTGTGTGATTTGTTAGTATATGTATATATAAAAGTATATGTATACACAGTATAATATATCATACGTCACTATTTTAACTATATAATATGTTTACTTTAATAACTCACTACTGTAACCTATCTCTATAGTTGATAAAATGTCAAAAACTGAAAGAAAAAAATTCACAGCGATGAACATATTATATTGCATGTATATATTATATAGGTATATTTATATTCATCGATGCTTGCTATTATATGCGTTGTCTGTAAGTCCAATACTGTTTCGTCGTTAATCATTGATAATAATAGGTATACAGGTTGATTCACCAAATATTCTCACATAGTATATTCAGTATTTTCTCATTCCCACTTTTCTTTCAATAACAAATTTATTTAAATTCAAATTTTTGGAATTTTCGAGAAGTGTATATATTTAAAGGTTCATAATTTTTGTTGCTTTAATTTTTTACACCTAAATGATATGGCTCGTGGCGATCATAATATATTTTTTAAATGTGAATTGTCGTTTTTTCTTTTAATAATTTTGAGCATAGTTGACCTTTTTCAGAATTATTATGTATCTAAATCAAAATTCGAATGCTAATAGTTTTAAACATATTTTTGGCTCACATAATAATAGGTTTGAAAAATATGTATTATTGGGGTTATATCGACTATGGTAATTTAAATATTATAGTAATAGTTATTAAATATTTTATTTTATTTTAGAATATATACAAATTGAGTCCTTTTATACATTTTATAGTGTAACGTAAGATTAACAAGTGCATAATTAACAAAAAAAAAAAAAAAATATGAAGTTATTAAGAAAAAAGTTATAAATACATAAATTAAGAATATTATATAACAACAAAGCAACATATTAATCAAGTTTTAAACTTCAAAGTATGTAATTTACATTTATTTTATATCTTTGTAAAAATATTCTTAAGAATTTTTATCTTTAGTATAAATTATACATTAATAACTCTGAAACTGCTATACTTCAAATTTGATTTAAATAATAATAACATGAAAAATCATTTGTTTAAAAATGTCTAGTAATATAAAAAAATTTGGTTCAACTTAAAAAAAAAAATGAAATTTGCATCACCAATAGCATACTTTTTAAACAACATAAAAATCTGAATATTTTGAAAATATGATTTTTAAATATACTTAAAAATTAAAGGAATCAGGATCTAAATAAATTCATTATTAAAGAATGTGTGATTAAAGGTAGTAAGCATGCTTGATGAATCACCGTGTATTGTATAATGCTATAATATTAAATGCAGTTTGTTTATTAAATCATTTAATGATTTCTGAAATGCTGTTTAAAGGAAATACTTACATTTATATAGGTTATATTGAATTATAAAAACTGGACTGTAATATTGTAATATGAAAAACCACACACTCCATCAATTCATATTATATACCAATAACCAGTCTAAAGTCTATTTTCTATACTTTATATAGTTCAAGTCGTTGAAAATGAGTTATAGTATATATTATTTTTAGTTATATTTATACCACTTAAATAAATATCATAATTTATCGGAGAGTCTTTAAATAACAAACCTAAATAACTATAAATTCATAACTGTAACGGGATAATAAAATTTTCTTCTAGAAATAAAATGGTATGCCTAGGTATTAGTTGTATTTATATTCTAAAACAATATGGGCATATATACATACTTACCTCACGTATACGTGTACTTATATAATATAAGCAGGACTTTAAAAAAATCATATTCCCATTTAAATGTCAAAGCAACGTATACATTAAAATTTTAATTATACACCTTACGTCTTACTATCCAAAACAATTGATCTTATACACATATATTAACAAATAATTTTATAATTAGATGATTGAAATAAAATGTGTAGTCCTTATTTTTAAAATAATTAGCATAGCATACTAAATTGCATCATTTGTATATACCTATATAATAGCCGCTGTATATATGCACCTATACCAAATATGAATTTAAAATGTTTGTAGTTTGTATTTAGATGTGTATATTTAGGATATTTAGGTACATGAGTATTTGGATAAAAATCTAAACAAGTTGTAGTATTATATTTTACCATTAATCGGAGAAGTAAATCGTAAAAAAATAGGAGCTTATACATTTGTATAAGAATTTATTGGGATTTTATGGAAAATTGTATAAAATGATAACTAATCATTTATTTATGTATATTTCTATATCATAAATTCTTATTATTCTGATGGTTAGGAAAGTTGAAATTAATGAAAAATCTGTTGTTAACCTTAATCTAATCCTTTAAATATCTATAATAATAACTATAATATAGTAGAAGACGAAACGTGTAATACTTCGTCGACCTATATCATGTTAATTTATCGAATTCACCAACTTTACGCCTGTATAACTGTAATAAGTAATAACGTATTTATCAATATAAACATACGATGGTTGAGTTAATGCAAAACAAAATCTTTAATATAATCGTTGTCAGTATGTAGGTAAAGTACAGTCAACTGAAAATATCTATTACAATAGCATGTACTTATGTCTATACATATTACATTGAAGGTACTATACGGTGGCGTATGCGTTTCTGGGATGATATAGCGATATAGCAGAGTTGAGTGTGTAAAAAGTATTTTTTGAAAGATTTTGAAATAATAACATTGCTCCCGATAATTCTATCAAGGCATCAACCTCAATATCACCACATATAAAATACTTCATATTTATTACAATATGTTATATAATATAATGTAGCGGTAGTTCCTCTAAAATCGGCCAGAACAATTAAATACGCGGGTGACTGGAAGGGTTTCCGTACAGGAAAGACTGAGCAATTGATTTTTCCACTTTTTGGTGTAATATACATAATATATTGCATGTCTACTGGAGAGGGTTCACCGTTACCGTTGTCCACGACCTAGGGCACGTGACCATTGTTATGTTGTGCAAAAAATCAAAAGATATACGTTTTTATAATATAATTATTATTGTTGTTGTTTTTATTATTAACGCATATACCTACCTATTTTAGCATTATTATACGTTGTGACTCATTAGTGCAAGCAAGCGCCCATATGAACAAAATGGTAAAGGTTTAATTATATTAAATTGCGTTTGTCCTGTGGATTGTGGAGGAATTATACTGAAATAGACACAGGAGCCAACGTACTTAATGAACATCACTACAAAAAAAAAAAAAAATTAAATTTAAATTTTAAAATTGTGTATTATTCTACAAATGGTTAGAGAAAAAAAAATGTTTAATTAATAATATTATCTAGTAAACAATCTAATTAACTAAATTACAAAATTTTAATTCGTTTTTGATACATAATCGTATAGTTTAATTAATTTTCAATAAAATATAACATGTGTGGTTATGGATTACGCAAAAACTATATCGTTTAATTTTAGGAGGACGCTCAGACGCCCATTAATGTATCTACATCTCCTAGTACAGACAGTGTATTTCTTACTATTAATTG